TGTGCCTAAAAAGGGGCTGTAAGAGAAATGTATCCTGCTAAATAGTAAAGGTTCTTTACAATGAGCCAGCATTGTTGGCAAGTAAATGGATGTGATTTACTTATGATCAATCCCCCCCCCCATATAGAAATTCAAGAGCACATCTGTTCATATTATATAGGGATAATGAATTACCAAGTGCTCATGATGCTGTGATTATTTTCATGAATACTTTAATTGATAAAAGGTAACCAGCAGGATTTAAACCCAATCAAATTTTTAAGCATGATTGATGGTGGGGGGGGGTGACTTTTTTTTTTTTTTTTTTTTTTTTTTTTTTTTTTTTTTCAAATTAGGTTCAGTGTCAAATGAGAAATCTGGTTCAAGTGAAGATTCTAGATTTCAAAGTTCAGGCCTCTTTAGTAAAGTCTGAAAAATATCTTGTAAATTTTTTAGATTTTTGCATTTAATTTTATCACACCTATAAACACTTGTCAGTTCAAGGTGTTTGTTCATATAGTTTTATTTATTGAAAAATGGAAATCAACTGAAATTGTATTTAGCCAGTGTAATTAGTGGGGTAGGCTGATAGATGTGAATAAAACTTAGTATCTCAAACCTTGATTAGTGTTCCTTCTGATAAGGACAACTGTCTTCAAAACTATGAAGACTACAGTTACTCTTATGACAAGAGATTGTGGCAATTTGAAGATATTCAAAATCTGTAGTCATGATCATCCACATCTTGAAAGGACCTGGCATTTAAGAAAAGACAAAACCCCCAAATGTAGTGCACCAGGGTTTGAACTCTTCAGCCTTCATAAGAAAAGGTTAATTTGCTCACAGTTCTTTACTTTCCAGTTTGTAATTCTGAATCCACTCCCTAAATCTATTTCTTTGGGTAGAGGTATTCAATTTTTAAATACTGGAAATGCCTACTGTCAAGTTTTTTTTTTTTTTTTCTTCATTATTATATAACTCTGAGTAAATCTTTTTAATTAGTAATAAGAAAAGTTTGTTACTGCTTGTGCAATATGTGCAGTAAACAATCTTTTATGGATTATGGAAGTTCATTTGTCCTTAAGCTATTTAGATCTTTTTGCTCGAAATGATTTTAAGATTAATGTGTGTAATATTTATCCTTGTTAAGACCTTATCAGTCATGTGATAGCCTGTCATACAAATCACTTTTGGGTGGACATTGAACACTTGTCTTTTTATTTTTATGAAAGTTCATTTGCCTTCGATAATGGTAGATTTTACAGAAATGATTGTACCTCAACTGAAGGTGTTTGGCCTGAAGCTGTTAGTCTTTTTTTTTAATATATTATTCACACGTAGCGGTGAGTGATTTGTAGAAAGTTTTCTTTATTTGTAAATATGTATATGTGATGAGTATTATCCTCTCCAGAACAGATGGCTTGTCTGCTAATAACACTGGCTTATTGTTGCGGCTTTTTAGAAAACTAAATCCTATTTGATGTTTTCTTATACGACTTTGAATGTTATCAGTGTAAAGTTTGAAACATTTTTTTCTACTTGATAAATGTTTGTAATTTGTATGTTGGGATTATGCCAACTTTTTGTAAGTGAAATTTAAATTTTTAGTCATCAATGGTGAAGTCTTTACTTTTTTTTTTTTTTTTTTTTTTTTTCTTACTGCTAGTGATAGTCTGATATACCTGGTGCAGTAAAAATTGCTGTTAAGTGATTCTTTTCCTACTTCCATGACAACTGCAATTACTTTTCAAAGTCATTAACTTTCCAAATCATATGGGCAGCTGTAATCCTGTTCTTGATGTTAGATTTGGCCAAGCTATTCTTCAGCCTACTGCTTATGCTTAGAACAGTAAAGTTGAAAACTGAATATTAGTGACCATTATGTTTGATACAGTTTTTAGTCTTAATAACTTACTGCCACTCACTTTGTTTTTAAATTAGAAGTTGCTTTTAATATAACTTCATGGCTAATATTTTCTCAGAAAATTGTGACCATCTTCACTCTGGCTAGGAAATTTTCCAGATTTTAATTTTTTGTCGGTGGGTGGGGGGTATACCTTCCCTCCTACGACACAATGGAGGCAACCTCCTCGATTTAATTAATCCACCCACAGTCAAGTGAACTATGAATGACTTTTATCTGACTGGCAGGTTTTATGTGTTGCCAGGAAAACTGAGGAGTTTCAAAGCAACCATCCACTGTCTATGGCTCTTGGGGTAAAGTGACATTTGGCCAGATGTGAGGAGTCCTGGTGATGGTTACCATGATGGATACCATCTGTCCAGGTTATGCCAATTACAGTTTGGAAGAAGGAGACCAAGGTGACATGTGCATACACAATGGTGAAGCTAACTAATTGAGAACTGCCTCATGCCTGCTTCAATTTTTTTTTTTTTTTTTTTTTTACTCTTTCCTATTTACTAAGGGTCCTCAACTTATCAAGTTGTTTGAGTTAGACATCTTGATCTGTATTGGTCAAAGGTAACTTATCTTTTTATTTACATGTTATGTAAAACTTATTCCCTTTTTTTTTTTTTTTTTTTTTTTCCTCCTCTTTTCTTTGTCACAACCACCACCAAACCCCACCCTGTCCTCTATATCTAAAATATTTCTAATGAAACTGCCTTGTGGGAAAGCTTCCTGCTTTTTACTCGCTGACACTTCTACAGTTTTGCATTCCATTGGGTATCCCAGAGGACTTTACTGGTTGTTTAGATCTAATTTCGACTTTGGTAGAATAAACTTTCTGTGGCAGGTGCAAGAATACAAACCATAACTCCATCGCTAGTTAACAGTACTAGCCAATTAATATATAGGAGCGCTTGAACAATAAACAAATCTACCAGTTGAGCACATTACTTAATTTTATATGCAGCAATTTAAACTGTATACTAGAAAGCATCTCTAGTAATCTTGTAGTCTTTATGCTATGACTATTTTTGTTGTGGCGTTTTGGATTCATTCATCTTGGACTGATAGCTGTGGTTTATTTTCAAATAAACTTTGATGTCTCACATGAAAATGTTATTGTCTTAGTAAATGTCCTTCACAAATAAATTTGAAATACTTTGCCATTGCAGTTTTTTTTCCTACTTCATGACAGCCAGTTATCTTTATCATAAGTGACAAACCTTTGACTGTTTAGACATTAATTTTCCTCTCTACTAATTTGACTTGTGTAATGGAGGCTGTTTGTGCTATTTTTTTTTTTTTTTTTTTCTTCTTCCAATTTAAGGGTCTTCAACTTGCCAAACAAGTTCTTTGAGTTGGACTGATAAATGAAAGTGTATAATGAACCTTAATGACTTAAAATACTGTCTTGTTTAAAGTTCACATAATACTTTGTGATGTCCAAAAATTATATGCATGTATAAATGAGGTTTGTGGAATATACAAGGTTCTATATTCTGGGAATTTTTAAGGCAAGTAAGGATTGCACCTGTTTATATATACCTGCAATTGTATTCTTGCCACCTTGCCTCTAAATCTCCCTGGAATCCATTTCTGAGATAAAATGCTTACTTAGTTCACCTGTTTTTTTGTCACACAGTTAGTCACTATTAGACTGGTATATAGATTTTATATCATGCTTGTATAAAAAATATGTATAAACAGGATTCTTATTAGCAAGGAATTCACATAGCTAAATTATAAATGTAACTGATACTGAAGCTGTGGGAGAACATCGGTTTCTGTCTTGACAGGCTCTCACTGATAATCAATTTTTTTTTTTTTTTTTTTTTTTTTTTTTTGCAAAATGTGACCAATAGACTTAAATCTTTTTGCAGAGGTATTTCAGACTTTTTGAATGTGGATTCAGTATTTTGTAGGGCAGGGTCAAAATTGTCTTTCTGTGGGGATAATTATTAAATGATTTTCTTAAAGCATCTTAACAGGGTACTTTACCCCCCACCATACTAATTTATCCCAGTTTACTCTTCATTAATAAAGTAGTTTGTCATTGTTCCCAATGAATTTTTTTTCTTCACTACATAAACTTATGAGTGTGCATAATGTATATCTCCTTGTAGGATGTTCAATAATAACTTGCATTGGAATCTTTGAGCCAATAGGTTGCCTGCCTTTCTATTTAGACCAACATACTCTTGTTGTCATTAGTTTAGGCTGTACTCCAAATCTCTTCAGGTGTCTGTCATAATCGGTGATCTGTTTGAAAGATCCACATAACTTAGCAAATTATCTGATTCTCTGGGTGATGGTGTGGAAGAAACAGATGAGTAACACAAAGCAGAATAGCCTAAATGGTTTAACTGAAGCTAAATATTCGTGAATATGAATACAGAATGAGAAAACTTAAACATTTTACTTAAAAATTCTGAGAATGTTGCAATGTATGGCACAAGGCTGGAACGTATAATTGCTAAATTGTTTCTAATGAATACGGATTCTTAGTTCCCTCCTCCTTGGGATCAATAACTTGCATGTTATTTTTGTTTCTTAAGGCCATGTGACTTTGTTAAAGGCATTCAATTAGTTGGAAATAGGAAATGTTTGTTAATGAAAAATTGGACTCTTTAATTAGACAACTTATTTTAGGATGACTGAATTATTGTAGATATAAAAACTCTTGATAAATTTGATTTGGATCAGAAATTAAAATGATTCTGCAGGATAGCATAAGTTGTCATGGATTTCTGTCCCATCTGTACAATTACACATTGATAGTCTTGGAAAAATTTTTCTCGGCTACCGAAGTTATAGATTAAAACCCAGGGTAGGTTGGGTTCTATATCTTTGGACAGCAGCTTGTCTCCAGTAAGTTCTATTCTGAATTCAAAACCAAGAAGGCAATTGGAAACCATTTTGTTTCTAAAGTAATGGCAATTCAGTTAATTCTGGAGAGTCATGATTGCACACCTTCTGAAGGAACGTTGCCTTAAAAAAAAAAAAAAAAAAAATCCAAGACTGAAAATATAGTAATTTCTGAATTTGTAATGAACTTTTGTAATGTGAAATATTTATTTGCTATTGAAATTTAGAACTTTTTTTTTTTTTGCAGGCATCATTGGCTTCCTCAGCCTTTATCTGATGGTTGGATATGGAGGCGACTTCCTTTGCAACCTCATTGGCTTCTGCTATCCTGCTTACAAATCGTAAGTTACACAACCTTTCATCACTTTGTGATTATGAAGATATTGATTGGAAGCAAAATCAACAATCCTGCTTGTCGACAAGGATATAATATTTCAGAATTTGTTTACTGGTTGGTCAGTGTTATATTTTGCACATCTCTCTGCGTAGTTGTAGTACAGTTCTCAGTGTCCTGAATAGCAACTGGGTTTGCTAGGCATAGCCACCCTATGCTTGCCAGTTGTTCTCTATTTATACTTGTCTATCTAATTTGCATACAATACTAGTCAGTCTGAAAGATAAATTAAGCTTTTCTTCCTTTCCCTACTCTTATTTTAGTTTTGATTGAATGTTTTTATTTTTAGCTTTTCTTTTAAGCAGCAAAACTGACCAGTTCATGAAGCATTGAACTGGAATCCTGGGTCTGTTAGATTTCAATTTAGTCTTGCAGTCTATAAGTAGCATTTTACTTCTATGGCAATGGAAAAATCCTGTAAATGTCTGATCTCTTTTTAGTTTCAAAGATGTTTTAATAAATGCTTTTAGACACTCTATAATGGGCAAGTATTAATGCTTGGACAACCAGTGCAGTACAAGATTTTAGTCAGTTTTATGTAGTAATTGATATTTATGCTAAATAGGATAAAGTTGACCAGTGCAGAACAAATATTTGATATGTTTTTCTTTTTAAGATGATTGATTTAAGGTTTTTTTCTTTTTGTTTGTTAAAGAAGGTAACAGAATGAGGCCAGCTTCCTGAAGAAATCAACTTAAATCATCCTAAAAAATCAACTCGATGTTTTTATCCTTCATAGTAGCTTTTTACTAGAAAGTTTTGATTTTAGCTTCAATCACATTGAACAATTTTATAATGAAGTTATTTTATTTTTTATATGCTCAAACCACAACTGTTCATCCATTTCCTATATAAAGAATAAAATATATTCCAACTATTCACAATCCTCCTTAGTCTTCATGAAAATTTCATTTGCATTGCTTTTAAATGATTGATTTTAAATCATTTTTAGAATGTATATAATTGGGGTGGGGCTGTCTCTAAAAACCTAAGCAGTCATCCAAACTACTGTCCTATTGTCTGCAGGAAGTCAAGATCACATGGGGTTTGATTTGGGTGAAAAAGTCCAAACTTCTTTTCTTGTGTGTTGGATCAAGTAATTTTTTCCTTTCCTTTTCCTTGATGTGAGTAGAATTAAGTTGGTTGGCTTTTTTATAACTCTTATACTCGCCTACCTACCCCCCCCCCCAATATGAAATCCCTGGGGTTGTCTGTTTACTTCTATACTTGGGCATGGCTTACCTGGCAAATTTTGTTGTGCATAAGTTTGGAAATTTGTACTGTCCTTGCATTGAAGTAATTGAATTTTAGCTTAATTTGGAATGAAATTTTTTATGTTGACTAATTCATTTATCTAAGTATAAGCTGAGCATCTGTTTTTAGCCAAATTGTTGGTCCCAAAATAGGATCTTGATTATCCTGATATGTAGTTGAATCTCTTAAACCTTTTTATGGTCAAATTGTAGTATATTACCAACAAAATGTCTTGGTGATATTGATCTCATTTTGTCATTGTGGAAACAGTTTACACTTGTGGAATCTTGAAAACCTGTAATCCTTTCAACTGGTTTGTTTTTTTTTGTTTTTTTTTTGTTTTTTTTTTTTTTTGTTCATAGCTGATCTTGACTTTTCCAAACAACCCACTTGTCTTATTACTTTTTTATTCAAACATATTTCTTTTTTCATTTAAAGTATATCACATTTTTAAGTTAAAACTAATCTTAATTTAAAATTACTTTAACAGAAGTGCTTGTTTAGCTGTATTGAAAAAAGAAATAAAAAAAAAAAAAACCTTAGTCTATTTTGAGAAAGCTTTTATCAATTTCCACTTGAGTTGAGCATAGTTTCTCACTCTTGAAACTTGTTTCCAATGTTATTTATAGTCATTGTACTTTACTGAAACCTCGAGCAAGTATAACAAGACTGTTAGTCTGCTTTTTATAACCTGATGATTTTCTCTGTCAAGTAATCATCTGAAAAACCTATTTTTTATGTACATACCATCAGGTGAAGCCTTTTCAATTCATATGTAATAGAACTGCAAATGAATATTTGGATGACCCATTCGGTCTTTATCAAACTTGCATGTTGACTATTGAAGTTTGTTTTGTTTTTTTTTTTTTTTGTTTTTTTTCGTGAGTAGCATAAAAATACTTATTTATGGCTCCCCCTTTTATTAGTCAAATTAGTAACAACTTAGGGAATGTCAATTAGTCTGTAGCTTTGGTTTTCAAACTATAGCATATAATAAAGAAAATATTAGTGGTCATTGCTTTCTCTTTATGGTTAAGAGAAAACCTTTTAAAACTTATGTTGGACAATGTTTGTTAATAAAATGCTGGTTACATAATTGGGTTTAATCAATTGCATTCTAAATGTATCAAATATTTATTTTATTTAAGCTTAATTTATGAATTCTCTAAATTTGAATAGTTTAAACTATTGGAATTGCCATTTGATGTAAATAGCATTTTACATTGTCATCTGATGCATATTTATTCCAATGCAACAAAGGTGAGAAAATAAACCTGTAAATGTGTTGACCTACTTTTGGTGCAGAATAAGTTTAATTCAAATGACTTTGTAGCTAAATAAATCTGTAAATTGTTTAAAACTTCCAGGTATTTGTTTTAAGAACTATAAGATATTTTTTTTTTTTTTTTCCCCTGCTCTCAGGATTAAAGCCATTGAATCTTCACGCAAGGATGATGACACTCAGTGGCTCATGTATTGGGTTGTCTACAGTGTTTTCAGCTTGCTTGAATTCTTTGCTGACTTGCTCCTCTTCTGGATTCCATTCTACTGGTTCTTCAAGGTAAGTTGCTTCCCCCCCACTGCATATCTACTGCACAAATGCATGCTTTTCTCAAATGTTAACACTATATCCTGTGACTTTTTCTGTTTTTTTTTTTTTTTTTTTTTTTTTTTTTTTTTTTTTTTTCCTTTTTTATCCTTTTTATCGCGATGGGGTTGTTGCTGAATTTAAATTCTGATTTTCTTAAAATATTATTGAAGGGAAGCTGATTTTTTTTATAAAGTGAACAAGTTGGTAGATAGTTAAATTAACTTTTTTCATTTTTCTATTGCTTGTAAAATAATCATTAGTAAGCTTAATTTCTACACTATTACCATTGTGTTCAATCCATGCTGGGTGTACCACTTTTGTATTCTTGTACCAAACACGTGCTGTCAATATTCTGTGATTGAAGTTTCAACAATTTGAGCCATAGAACTTCAGGTCATATACAAGTTAATGTCCAAGTATTATTTTGATCAAAGCTTATTGACTATTATTAGCTTAGTTCAGTTCTTCAGATTATTCATTAGTGTGTGTGTGGTGTCTCTTCCCCCCCCCCCCCCATACCAACGCAACTTGCTGTCTGTGTGCATAGCCATTAGAAAATGGCTCACACGCCCAACTCCAGGTAGGCCTTGTGGCCTATCAATCTACTGTTAGTCTAAGTAGAGCAATTGTATTCAGCACCTGGCATTCCCCAGCAGTCGGCCATTTTCAGTACTGGCCAGAGTCAGTTGCTTAACTTTGATCGGACAAAAACCATGTTTCAATGTGATATGTCCTTAAGCTAGTAGTAAACTGCAGTGATCCAACGTGAAAGTCTTTACTAGGCTTTCATCTCTGAAGGTAAAACTGACTTCCCAGGGGTAGAATGGTTGTTGATCTCCCTGAAAGCTTACTCTTTACTTCAGATTTGAACCAAGTAGTGACAATGAAAGATAAGCTGAAATTTTAATGCTTTGTGAAACACTTTATTTTTACTGCTTCAAAAGCTTTCAATCTTGTGAAAGTTAAAATATACAAAAGCACCCACTTGTATATGCAGTGACAATTCCAATTGATTAGTTTGTAATCAGCTTTCAGCTATTTATTTTTGCAAGTTAATAGAACCCAATGCTATGAAGTGTTGCTTGCATGTAGCAATTGGTGCAGATAATTGTTGGTTTCTTGTCAGTATGAAACTTGTGCTTGCATATTTAATATTTACGCCTTGTAGCATTTTTATTCATTTGTTTTTGTTTTGTTGTTTTTTTTTTTTTTTTTTTTTTTTCTTGTCTACTAACTTAGCTTCAAGTGAAGGTAAGTGATTATTGGTTGGTTTTTTTTTTTTTTTTTTTTTTTTTTTCCTTCCTTTTATCTGGTCTGTTGACAATCAAGTCTCCATTCTGAAAAATGGATATCTGCCCTCCATCTAATAAGAGTTATTAAGAGCGACATGGCTAGTTAAAAACGATATTAAGTTGAATCTTCATATTCAGTGAATATGAAAATGCTATCCTCAAATGGGATAGTCGTGAATAAAAAGCTTTTCTCCCTGTTGTGCTGGTTATTTATGGCTGAGTTTGGTTAACTTTTTTAATATTTAGAGATCTCCAGTATCTTATGCAAAATTGAGGTATCAGGCAGTGTAATGTTTATCCAGATGCTATAGACTACCCATACCTAGCCAAACTCTGTGATATAGGTGTAAATTACAGGGAAGTGTGTGGTGGTGGGGGGGGGGTGCGGAATGGTAATAGATAACCATGAAGGAGGAGTATCTGGAACCTTTTGAGATATATTATATTACATTATTTATGAAACTTTTAGTCTTTTTTTTTTTTTTTAATAGCTGCATCACATACTTTCCTTTTCGGTGCAAGCATTATCTTTGCTGTCTTTGAGATGTGTATATCTCATGTACTCTGTGTTCCATTGCACTCCTCTCCCAAGTTTTATATTCTTTATTAGAATCTTTTCTCAACTCCTCATAATGTCTTATTTGTAGGAATAATGGTTCTTGACAGGCATTCTCAATTTCTCTGCCTTGCTGTTTCAGCCTCATAAGGAAGTATTTGCCATTTGCTGACTTTTTTTGTAAAGTCTTTAAATTGTCATTGTAATTTTACAAAAGTGACTGTTAAAATGTAAAGTTCTCATTTGTGAATAGTACTTTTCCTCCTGGTTTTGTTGGCTTCAGCTTTTTCTTATTTACTTCATTTTTCCTACTTTTGATTATAAGTTATAGTTCGTACACTATCATTGTCTAATAGTTTGCATAACTTTATATTGTTACTTTACACCAATGTTTCTCATTTTTTTCCTCTCTCTCCCCTTGCAACATTTCTTTCTTGCTTTGGGGCCAACTTGTAAATTAACTAAAACTCTGGGGGTGCACTTTAAATGTAAAAAGAAAAATTAGTTATAAAATTTTGGTTTAGCATTTCCAATTTTTTTTTTTTTTTTTTTTTTTTTTTTATTATAAAAATTCATAAATTACTCTTAAGATGCACCAGTTGAAAAATGCTGCTTTAGACTATGGAAGTATCATTACTGGTCATTGTCTGATGTACATTAAAATTACTTTTTTCTTTTATTACTACTACGAGATGTTAAGTGGTCAGTTGACTTTGAATGTGATGTACTAAGAAGCACCTTTTGGTATGGAAGACTGATTGTCAGCTGGCCAGTGTGTCCTTAATTACTTCCATAAACATTTTGCTTTGGATGACATATAGGAGGAATGTTCCAGAATGGAGAAATCCTTCATTTATAAACTTCAGTGATCTTTGATAAAGTCTGTAAATGACTGATGCACAAGTGCTTGTACAATTTGTGAAGAACTCTGATGTTCATCCATTGCAAATCTTAGTCTGCAGGCAGCCAATTCTTCAGTTGGTAAATCCCAACAATTATTTCTATATTTTCAGAAAAGTTACATATTCCAAATGAATTGAAACTGGATATAATGTAACAATTTAAATTGCCTTTTAACATTCTTGGCTTAAATATTACTTTCTCTAATTTAATCTCCTGAAACTTAATTCTTAATCCTCTATAAAAACTGAAGTGTCCATTTATTCCTTCTATATGTATCTTGCTGTTTTTGTTTTTAAGTGCCAACATTTGAGTTTGGTTATGGTTTATTTTTACCAATCCAGTAAATGGATTGATTGGCTTTTTTAACATTATGCTTGCTTTTATTTATTAGCAAAACACTAATTTTGCTTTGTTTTGATTCCATGTGGTATAAACTCTTCTTTCCTAATTTGGGTCTTCTTGGGTGTTGGATATTTATTGAACTGCTTGATTTTTGGTTTTAAAATTTTTTTTTCTTAATTGAATTTAACAGCTTAAAAAAATGTTCTGCATGCTTTTTTTGGGTTTAATATTTATCACTTTTATAGCATGCCACCAAACAGTTAAATATTATTGTAAAGGACTCTTATTTTAGACAAATCTGTGACCAAGAAACTTACTTGTTTCTTCTGGATGGTTATATGAACAGCTGAATAAGTTATTAGCTCACCTGTAGTTCTGAGGACCTATTAGTCAACAAATGTGAATTCTCTTGTGATGACACAGTTGAGATTTGATCAGGGCTGGTTGAACTCTCTTGGTTTAGTTTTCCATTTTGTGTTTACTTAACAGAATTAATGCACAGCTGTAATTGATTTTGGTTAATATCAGCCTCTTGTTTATTCTGTCAGACGGGACACAGTAATGGACCTTTGTGTTGGCAGGGATACATATTAAAACGAGTGATGTTAACCTTCCTCTGTCCTTGAGATGCCTTAACTCAAAAATATACCTAAATTTTAAGCCTCTTGAATCTGACATATTACAAATACCTTGCCTTTCAACTGTGAAGGTATTTCAGAAAACTTGCATTTATACCATAGCAGTTTCAAACTAAAAATATTTGTATTTCTCTTGATATCTGCAAATTTTTCCTTTAAAAGTATTTTTTTTTTTTTTTTTTTTTTTTTAATGCCTTATTGCATTTATCAAGTGTATTGGTAAAATAACCTCTCTAAATGACTTTGTCCTGACCTTAAATAGTTTGCTATTAGGCTGACCCTTAAATACATATGTGCATTACATATTTTACCTCATTTTAAGATATGCTTGAATAAGTCTAGCTATAATTAGGTTTCTCCTTTTTATGTAAATATAGTTAATTGACTGTACTAGTTGACTATTTACTAATATCAATCCTTATATGGAGAGGAAGGACAAATAACTTCAATCATTAACTGTTTTAAAATATATAAAACTGTCTTAGTTTTAGCGACTACTAATGAAAATATTTTTTCATGAAACTAAAATTTTGCAAATTAAGATTAACTTTGGTAGTTTAACTGTCAACCAATTACAAATTAATTTAAAACCTTGTACGTGATACTCATGGTATATATTCGGTGATAATGAAAGGTCTCTGAAATAACTCTGATTTCGATATTTCTTGCTTCTGCTCCTCCTAGAGGATCAACTTGTTCAGTTGTTTTTAGCTGAATGGTTTGCCTGGTTGTCTTCATGTCATCCCCTTCTGCAGTAATGTCTGGAATCAAAACAATTCTGCAGCTAAAATCTAGGATGGTAATTAGTGGCAGGTTTATCATTACCTGAGGATGGGCATGTACTATCTCTCTCTCCACCCTTGTTCCTTAGCAATCTGGTAATCCTCACTCTTGGCTAGCCACCACACCCTATCCAGCAGTTATTTAGCAACCCTAACATACTGTTTCTAAAGTTCTAGTTTCCAGATCCTCCTCCTCACTCTGAATAGGTTTTAAAAAATGGAAATCTCAAATTGTTCATAATTTCCTAAATGTATTTTAAATCCTCTTGTGGAGACAGGGAGGCTTCAAATTGGGTTATTTTGGGAACCTTTTTTTTTTTTTTTTTTTTTTTTTTAGTACTTTTATGTTCATAGATCAATTAAAAAGATCCCCTTTTAAACTTCTTGAATACTGGGCTTTTTTTTTTTTTTTTTTTTTTTTTTTTTCTTCTAATAGAACTTGTAAGCTGGGTACCACAGGCTGCAGATTGAGAAGCAGTGGCAGCAGACCTTTCTGATTGCTGCATTTGTGTGCCTGCTGCTTGTTTCTAGGTGTCTACTGCTGATACCATTTGTCAATACTACTACCTTGTTAGGACATCTTGATGTCTTTGGGAAGCTCGGGTTTACAGTAGACTTGATTCTAAAGATAACTTCCTCTGTTATAACCACTGGTACTAATTTTGTCTTTCACCTTCATTGTGTATTAATATCGTTTTGTCTTTTTGGGGTCTAAACTTGTCACCATAGTTCTATTGGCATCTTTTTTTTTTTTTTTTTTTTTTTTTCCTTCCCTTATATTGAAAACAATTGCAGCCTCTCAATAATTGAATCCCTTTATGCTGTGAGAAAATGCACTCTCTTACTGTGTGAGAAATAGGATCATTCTCTTAAATTAATGATTTGAGGTTTTTCCTTTCATATTTTTAAAATGTCTTTTCTCCTGTCTATAGATTCAGTAATCTTTTTGAACTTCTGTTATATGGGAATTCAATTATTAATGCTTTCTCATATTTGTGTGTATCTGGTTACGTCATCACTGGATTAATTTGGGCTGTTCATATTCACAAAAGGCTTAAGTTAAGCTTTTTGCTGCAAAATCTACAATGTTGTCCTAAATATCCCCCCCCCATGCATGCTTTGCCCTCTCTTTAGAAACTTTGGTTAACAGCACTTTTTTTTTTTTTTTTTTTTTTTTTTTTTAAACTTATCCTGAATTGTGAGAATTTTATTAGGCGACAGATTTTTCATTTTAAAATTTTTTTCCTTAGGATTCTTGAACCCTGTTTGACCAGACTTTTCATAACCACAGAGCACTGTTGTTAAATCTTTCTCTTGGATGCATATGATGTTCACTAAGAAATATAGTAAAAAGTACCCAACAGCTTTTGCTGGCTTGGGACAGAAAATTAGCTTTTTTTTCTCAGAACTTTGCTTTTGATACAATTGAGAACTTCTGTTCTTTTTCTAAGCTGGGAACATCTAATATTGTCTGTCTGTTCTGGTTTATTTTACTGTTTGACCATGTAATGTTGACTTTCTTTCTTTTCTTTTTACAGTGCATCTTCCTGTTGTGGTGCATGATGCCAATCCCTCATAATGGTGCTGATATGATTTACAATCGTCTTATCAAGGTGTTTTTCCTAAAGCACGAGTCTGAAATTGATGATGCCATCAATTCTCTTGGCCAGAAGATGGATGAGGGTCAGTTGATTATGCAAATCTTGCTTCTCTTTTACTGATTTCCAGGGTGTTAATTGTTGTGGCCCTAAAGCATTTACTTAAATTCTATTTCTTTTTGGGGACTTTAATGTAATTTATCACTTGTCAAGAATGTCAGACATTCTTTGGCATAGTGTCCCCCCACCTCTCCCAAATGCACCCACACATCTATAGTTCAAAGCCATCTCCAATTCACTGCTAGTTTTGCTTGGGACTTTGTGTGGAGGTGAGACCAGTTCTTATTCCAGATCTCATGCACTGACAAAAACACTTTTGAGCAAGTTTATCAAAATGCCTACCACTGTGTACATATTTGTGTTGAGGTTTTTGCCTTACTACCTCATCAAGGATACCTACAGTCAGTCCTAGAAATAAGATTTGTAGTTTTTTTTTTTTTTTTTTTTTTTTCTTGAATATAAATAAAACCCTAATACATATGGGTTTAGCTCTGTTCCATTTCAAACACCAACTGGGGATCTTTAACACGTCTATTTTAAAGAAAATTTCACTTGTGCCTTGCGAGTACGTGCATTGTAGTAGCAGCAAATAACCATTTCTTTATGCAGTGTAGCAGAAATCTCACGTGCACACACACAATGGTAAGATATTAGGGGCAATGGTGTCTTCATTTAGCCAATGTCTTACCATTATGTTGGTATTTCTTCAACACTCTGTATTTTTTTCCAGTTGTTTTAGAAATGCTCATAGCAAAAGATTATCAAAATCTGAAATCCCAACTTTTCACACACACACACACACACACACACACACACACACACACACACACACACACACACTGAATTGTGTGTACACTCCTATACCTACCACTTTTTTTAAAGCTTGTCATTCAATAAATTTAAATCTCTAGTCTTTCAATGCCATTTTAATTTTTTTTTTTTTTTTTTTTTTTTCCACAGCCAAGAAAACTGTGACCAAAGCTGCCACAGATGCTGCTGCTGATTTTGTCTCTGACAGCATGAAGGGCGGGAAAGCAGAGTAACACAAAACAAAAAATGAACCAACAAAAAACAAATCAACACCTGGAGGGAGATGACTTTTTCTGAGGTGCCTGTTAGCCAGCAACACCTGTCAATGGCCACAAGTGTCCAGCCTTCCAAATGTTTAGTCTTTGACCAATAACTTTTTCTTTACCTGCTCTCACCTTTTTCATTTTGTCAACAACTTCAACACATTTTTTTTCTTTCTTTCCCTATCTCTCTACCTCTTTTCACCATGTTTGATTGTGGATTTTGAATGGACATTATGGTTGGCATTACAATTTTGAGGTTAACAGTTTGGCCATTTTAAATAAAAAAAAAAAAAAATAAATAAAAATAAAAAAAAAAATTAAAAAAAAAAAGCTCCAAACCATTTAAGACATTACAACGCTGCTTAACTTATCACTTACAAAGTGAAGAGCGACTTTATTTTTATTTTTCTAATCTAAACAAAAAAGGCTGCTTGCTCTTTTCATATGCACATTTGCACATCAAATGTGCAAGTGGTAATGATTAATGAGCACATTGGCTTTGTTTGTGTAACTCGTCAAAGCTTTTCTCTGTATCTTTATGAAAGCCTTTGTTGGGAGACACTTAAATACTAAATGACAGTTTCTAATAGACAAGCTATTGTGGTTAATAGACAAACAAATCAAATTTTGATATAATATGGACATTTTCTTTTATCTACTTTTTCTTTTCTTCTTTTCTTTCCTAATTTATTGGTGCTTCAAAGTCTGGATATTGCTCTGCTCTTGATTCATTTGTGTAAAAACAAAAATCACGATAACAAATATGTGACTGAAATCAATGTTTTCTCTTATTTTCTTCACATTTGTGGTTTTCTGGCTTTTTAGAATTAATTTACCCTTTCTTCAAATTTTTTTTTTTTCCTTCCACGTCTACCTCTATTCTTTCAGATACTGCACATCACCATGGTATCTGCCACTCTTTTCCTCTTGGAAGAACCACATCTACTTCTATTGAAGCAAATGTGGTGTGTGTGTGTATATATATATATATATATATATATATATATATATATATATATATATATATATATATATTTTTTTTTTTTTTTTTTTCTCTCACTCCCTTCAATTGACACTCTAACTATTCAATCATCTATTTGTTTTTTTTTTTTTTTTTTTTTTTTTTTTTTTTTTTTCTTCTCAATTCTAATTCTTGATTCACACCCAACTAAATAAAACTTGTCTAAATAGTTGATTTTTTTCCTATACTTTTCTTCTATATGGATTGTTAGTATTTTTTACTTGATAGAGAAAAAAAAGCAAACTGGTTAATGTTATGTTCTTGTTTGTTACTGCTGCAATTGCTTGATCTGCTGGCCAAGTTCTTTCTGTAGTTTGGAGTTCTGACCAAAGTTTCTATTCTCCAAAAACATAGTCTGGCACACTCATGATTTAATGGTATTGGCTACTAACTTGCATCTGTCGCACTGCCCTACCATGCATGTAGTACTGTGGGTCTACTACCATTGTGTGTTGTAATGTCATCATTGTCTATAACAACTTTGTATGCATTCCAGTCTTGATTTTTACTATTAAAAGTATCACTCTTAATATTTGCAAGTCATGTGGAATATTTTTCTACTGTGCCCTCTGGTGATTTACAATTGTAAATAAAAGTCACTTTCCTTTCATTTCTTTTTCTTTTCTTGGCAAACTACATAAAATACAGCCAACTAATATATAATGTGTGTGTAATATAAAAATTTAAGTTTTTTTTTTTTTTTTTTTTTTTTTTTTTTTACCGTCCTTGTGTTAATCGAAATTTGGCTATGTATTTTGTTTCCTGCTAAAAAGATTGAAGTTCTTGACTGGAGGGTGCTTAAGATTGAATTAGCCAGCTGTCGTGAATTTCTTTTCCTTCAAATTTGGGTTACTGTGTAGACCTGTAGCCAGAATTTTAAGAGTAGATTAATGATAGGGCAAAAGCAACAAATGAGATTCTTTCTCCTTGTGGCTCTTCTCTAAACAGTTTATAAATTTCTAAGATAAAACTTTAAAATGATTAAATTCAACAAATATAGTGGAATTTATTGCATTGTTCATGACTATCATTCCTAGCATAATTATCTGCTTCTATTACTGTAGTTTTCAGTCTTTTCTGGCTACAGGCTTAAAGACAGACATGACAAGAATGTGTGTTTTTTTTTTTTTTTTTTTTTTTTTGTTTGTTTGTTTTTTTTTTTTTTTTTTCCCTAAATAGTTTTGACTTTTACTTTTTCTTGTCCCAACAAATAACTTGCTCCAACTCTGGTTTCATTACAATGTCTTTTAAGGTGGGGTTTGTAGAGACTTTGATCAGTGAACTGAAAAGATTGCATTTTGGGTTTTTCTTAAGACTTTCTAGGTTTCTCAGCAGAGCATGAAAAGTATTTTGATTTAAACTGTTTACCATAAAGTTGACTGGAAACCCAAATTCAGCTAGCTTTGTTTTGCAGGAAAGTGAGATTTCAACTTCTACATCAATATAAAGATGTTTGTACATTGCTGGAGGAATTAATTTGTCTGTTTTTTTTTTTTTTTTTTTTTTTTTTTTTTTGTGTGTGTGGTGAAATTGTTCATTTAATTTAATATAAACTTAATCCACATCTCATTCTGTTGGCAATAGTATTTGGTAAACTGTTTTAGTTTGGTATTTAATGTTTGCAAAGTCACTTCAGATGCTTAAGAGAATTTAAGTTTGCAGATTCTTATTTTGGACATAGAATTGGTTTAGCATTATCTTTAATTCTGAATTTGTTTTATCTTTGAGAATAGGGCACTTGTGCCAAGCTTGATGCATGGTTTGCCATTGTAATGGTGCTAAGTGAACAAATTGCCAAAGTGCAGCAGAAAAGATGCATTTTGGGAAACACCTGCAATGATACTGTTATTAAAATTAATGACTAATAAATTACAGATTTGTTACATTAGTCTTGCAGATGTTCACCAATATAGTTTTGTTCATTACACTCCTGTGCCTAACAAGTTTGGATTGGGGTGGGGGTCAAGATAATTTGTTACTGCTAGCAACTATATTCACACAAATCAAGGGGGTTGGGTTAAATTAAACTTGAATTGTAGGGTTCATAATAAGCAGGTTTTTTTTCCTCAAGTTGACCTTAGCTCTACCAACTTTTTAGACATGTGAGAATACTTGTTGCCTTATGCTATTCTAACCTATCTTATCATTTCTTCTAACACTCCACTTGGAAAAAAAAAATTGCTACAATGAGTATACTTTCCAATTATGGATATTTTTAACTCTTAACACATTGTTCTGGAGAGATAATTTAAAATGGATCTTGCTTGGAGAAAAAAGTAATTTGCTTAAGAAATTGTGGATAGCCTTTCCATATAGATGGCGGGGTTTGCTGATAAATCTGCAGAGAATAGCTAGTTCAAAAGACCTTTTGTCCATCAGCGGAATTGTTTGTTATTTATACATATGCTCCTCAGCAGATTGTTAAAGGGGTGTTTTCTCTTGTGTTCCATTGATATGCCGATTAATTCTTTGGCTAATTTCATCAAATAATTTCTAATTTTTTTACTATCTACATCATGATTTCACGCTTACCTGTTATTTATTTTATATATATATATATATATATATATATATATATATAAAACCTGCAGGGATTGATATTGGCTCAAGTTATAACTTAATAAATGAATGGTAGTTATATTTCTACCACTGGTGGTTGGGGCATAAAAGCTCATGGCCTCCTCTTCATAGTCTAATGAATGTGTTGCTGCTGTTGTTGTTGCTGTTGTTTCTAATTTTCTATATGGTGAGGATAGTGTTGGGAGGCTTAGTATTAACTAAAGCATAATCTTCCCATATTCTTATCTATATAAGTCTGAGTCAAATCATAATTTTATGGAACCTTGAGCTCAGCATTCTAAGGCATTTAATTATAATACTTAGAATATGAATTAATTGAAAGTCTTAATATAAAGCATTTAACAGTTATATTAATACTATTAATCTTATATTAATTTTAATATTAATTTTATTAATATTATAATATAATATTCAATTATATTGATATATTTATATTTTTTTATTATATATGATTATGATGGATTATGATTAGATAGATATCTAATGATTAGATAGATATCTAATGATTAGATAGATATCTAATGATTAGATAGATATCTAATGATTAGATAGATATCTAATGATTAGATAGATATCTAATGATTAGATAGATATCTAATGATTAGATAGATATCTAATGATAATTATCTAATGATTAGATATCTAATGATTAGATATCTAATGATTAGATATCTAATGATTAGATATCTAATGATTAGATATCTAATGATTAGATATCTAATGATTAGATATCTAATGATTAGATAGATATCTGTTAATATCTTATGTATATTATTACATAATCTTTTGGAAATTCCCCTATTGCATCATTAGGCATTTGATCTTAAGTTTAATTATTACAATAACAATCAAAGTTTGAATGCAGGTCATTGTGAAAAGACGAGATTTTCCATTCTGGTTCTTGCCTGTGGAACTCTCTTCCAGTTTTCTTCCTTCCAAAAAATTAAAGGCAACACTAATTGCCATCTTTCTTCCTCAATGCTGTTTTGTTTCTTCTCTCTAATGTTCTTTCACTTGTTTAGTGGCATTTTCACCTTTCTTGGGGGTGAAATAAATTGTTAAAAGCAATTGCCTTCATAGGCATATCAATAGAACACCTGCAAAAATCCTTTTTTTTTTTTTTTTTTATATTATACACATTCTGCTTGGGAGTTGGCATCTATTGTAATGAAATATTGTTTTGCTGGGAGCAGCATTGGAAGTTGTTCAACAAAGCCCCTTCTCCAGATAGTGTAGATTGTGCTAATTTCTCTCTCTCTCTATATATATATATATATATATATATATATATATATATCTCTCTCTCTCTCTCTCTCCACATGTCCCATTCCTTCTTCATCCTGGAACTGATAGACAGTTAAGAATTTCT